CCAAATCCCCTGCTCAGTTCCCAGTTCAGTATTTGTCATCCTATCTGAAATCTCTAAGATTTCGGAAGAGATGTTAAATGAATTAGCTCACCCTCATGAATTATTATCTGGCATAGGGTTTTTGTTGTTGTAGTTGTTGTTTTACAATCTAAATAGAGGAGTTTGGCTGGGGTTATAGCTCAGTGGTAGAGAGCTTATCTAGTAAATCTAAGTGTGATCTCTAACACCACGCAAGGAAGGAAGGAAGGAAGGGGAAAAGGATGGAGAGAAGAAAGGGGGAATGGAGGAAGGGATGGAGAGAGGGGAAGAGAAAGGAAGGAAGGAAGGAAGGTGGTTGGGAAGGAAGGAGGGAAGGAAAGAAGGAAGAAAGAGGGGAAGAAAGGAAGGACTATTTACAAATCTGCCATGTCTGGTGGCCTCTGTTATCATATATAGTCTTTCATACTTCAGTATTTTCTTTTCCAGGTTCCTGTTGACAATGCTAGATCCTCATCACCATTTTCTTGGTGTACCTGGCAGTTGTTCTGGGCAGTTCCCTATCACCCACAATGTCTATGCTGACTCATCTCTGCTCTGGACCATGTATTTCTTTCTGTCCATGCTAGCAGAGTCTGATTGGCGTCTCTGTGTGTCAGCCACACTCACAGTGCTGGGACTACTATGTCTACTTCATAATACCCCTTTATGTGTCTCCCACCTCTATTTATTCCGTGCTTTTTCTTTCATGGAGTCCGCTAGATTTTGGCCTTGCCATATGATTATTTAGTAACAACACCAACTCTCTGACACATCCCTCAGTGTTCATGCTGGCTCCTGGGTAACAAAGGTTGGAATATTTGGGTATTCAAGAACAATATTCACCATTCATTTTGGTCTGTGACTCTCTGGTTTCACCTAATGAAAATTTTCTCTCTCATTCCTACTGTTGGCACTAAGATATGATCCACCTCTCCTAATCAGTCACACACTTGAGCAGCTTTCTGCTTTGTTGTCACCATAGGTTCAGACTTCCTTTTCACTTTGCTTTCTTTTTTTAAATTTTTTTATTAAACATCAGAAATTTATTAGTTGCGCAAAACATTACATTGATCTTGACATATCATATATCATACATTTGCTTCAAATGGGATATGAATTCTTATTATTCCCACGTGTACAGATTGCAGGATCACGTTGATTATACAGCCACTTTTTATACATACTGCCAAACTAGTGTCTGTTGTATTCTGCTGCCCTTCCTATCCCCTTCCTATCCCCCCTGCCCTCCCCTCCCCTCCCTCTACCCCATCTACCATAACTCATTTCTCTAACTCTCTCTTATTTTTTTTCCTCCCCTTCGCCTCACATCCTCTTATATGTATTTTTGTATAACAATGCGGGTCTCCTTCCTTCTTTGGCGCAATTCCCTCTCTCTCTCCCATTCCCTCCCACCTCTCGTCCCTGTTTGATGGTAATCTTCTCTTTTGAGCAGATTATGCCAAGTGAAGTCAGCCAAACCCTTAAAAACAAATGCCGAATGTCTTCTTTGATATCAGGGGGGAGACTCAAAACAGAGCAGGGAGGAAGAGCATGAGAAGATTACCATCACTTTGCTTTCTTAACATCAGTTGCTCAAGTCTATAAGGGTCATGCACCCCACCGGGGCGGGGAGAGAAAGTAACACAAATTTCCTCCTGCCCGTGTATCTCACATACTGGTTGTCCCAGCGTGTTGTGTCCCTGAGTGAGGGCTTTCTATCATTTAACATTTGCAAGGCATTCCTCCCCGTCATTTTGATTATCAAGAGCAATGTGTACACATTTTCCACTGCTGATGATCCCAGTCATTAACTGCATAAAGACCCAGAAAGGTGTTCTCTTTGAAATAAAAATCTAATGTTCTCAATAACTCCCCTTTAGCTAAATTACTTATCATATTATATGACATAAGATATGATTATATAATACCACATGATATATGATTATATGAGAATATAATATTTTTAACACATTACCAATTATTAAAGGAGACAAAAACTAGAAGGGAACATTTAAAAATTTGAATAGGGAAAGATAAACCTGGTGATACAAGAGAAAACAGTAGTATAGTATCTGATGCAGTGTGTTCCCATAATAAACTTATCCTTAGCTTAAATTGTTTTCCACAGTTTTGTCAAAGAAAGAAAGAAAAAAGAAAAAGATACTGTACTAAAAGAATAATCATCACATTCAAAACTCAGACTTCTTGATGTGATTAGTCTTTTCCCTCCATTCCTAGCCGGTTTTTGTAACCCCTGGGGCTACTCCCCTTTTCTACCTCTCCCTCATTCTGTTCTTATGTCTGTATAAGTTGTTGTGTAGTACTTCTCTTAGTATTCACACAACTCTGCTTACAAATAGACTTTTCAGTCATACCTACTTATCAGTTAACACCAATCCTCATTTCATTTGGATATATTAGACTGTCTACTTGTATGTTTTCCCTACATACAATCTAATTACTGATCAACTGAATGTCAGACATGAAATGTTTTGTTATTCTTATCTAGAGAATAAACCATGCAGAAACCAAACTATGCTTTTAACTCTCTTCTGATCCTGCAAGTTTGGAAGATTCTCATTTAAGTATTTGACAGGACATCTTGGATTCATATGCACTGTGTATAGATTATTTATATGCTAATTTTTTGGCTATAGGATTCTAGAATTGAAAATCAGCAAGTTCTTCTTACTTTCTGTCATGATATAGTAGTAGTGGATTTTATTTTCATATCACTACATCACCACATTGAGGTCTGGCATTGCAGATAGGAAAGCTTGGATATTTGGTGTGAAGTTACCACATACTTTTTTAAAAGTACATAATATCCAGAAAAATCTACGTTCCTGGCTCCTGGGGTATTGTATATTTTTTGCTGGAACTTTCTCCCAGAATCACAGTCTGTGACTCAGTAACACTCATCAGAATGTAACCATCTCTTTTCTTCAAGAAAATAACATTTATGTTATTTTATTCCCAACACCCAACATGGTAGGGGGGCATTGTTTATTTTGGTATGCTGAATTAAAGCTTAATATTTTTATTTGAGAAGGATATATATTTTCAACTAAATCAACCCCATGATCAGGAATACTTTTGCAATGATTATGAACACGTAAATCTGTGACAACAACTGATAATTGTTTTCCACCAACTTTTCATAAAATAATGTTTTGTTATTAGTTTCTTATATGAACCTATTCCTTCTCTCAAGGTTGCCTTTACAGGCACTTAGATGTGAGCCAAGGGAATTTTCCAGGTCATTTTTTGTGCAATTGACTAGAATGAAATGGATTTTGTGCATACCATCTTCCCTCTAGCAGAACTGATAGAAAAATTCAATTGGTGAGCCATTCCTGGGAAGAGTCACTACATGTGTCATGAGCATCAACTAAGAAATCTATCATCCATAAAACAACCCTAGCAAGGCTGTCAATTTCATATTCTTTTATAAATTCTGATACACACACACACACACATACACATATGCATGTGTGTATAATTTATATATACACCTACATACTCAAAAACATTTATCTCTTTTTGATAGTAGCCATTTTAATAAGAGTGGGATGATATTTATTTGTAGTTTTAATTTGCATTTCCCTTCAGATTAGTGACAATGAACTTCTTTTCATGTACCTGTTGGCCATTTGTTTGTCTTCTTTTGAAAAATGACTGTGCAGTTCCACTATCCATTTCATATTATTTGTAATGAGTTGTATGAGTTACTTATATATCTTAAATATTGACTTCTTGTCAGATATACATTCTTCAAATATTTTATCCTGTATCAGAGATTTACTGTAATTTTGCTATTTCTTCTGTTCAGCATAAGCTTTTAAATTAGATATAGTCCCACTTGTGTATTTTGTTGTTGTTGTTGTTCCCTGTGCTTTTGGTGTCAAATCCAAAAGCTTGTTGCCACAACTCTGTGTTTTCCTCTGAAAAATTATTGTGCCTAGCCTCACTTTAAGTTTTAAACCATTTTAATTTGATTTTTGTACACATATGTAAGCTAATTTAATTTAATTTGGAGGGCTTCATACTGTAACCTGTTAAAACCTTGTGCAAATACTTCCACAGTTATCACTTATTATATGTATTGTTTTCTACTTGCCAGCTAGATTCAGAATTGGGATAGAGGAGAGGGACCACTTGAAACCCATCCTTCCAGAAAGTAGCATATATCAAAGTGAACACTGAATAACAAAATGAAGCTAGAATGTGTTGCTCATGGCAACACTGATAACTACAGAGGCAGAAAAGCCATTACAGGAAGGCTAAGAAAGAAAGCAGATCTTTAAAAATTTCTCAAATATTAATGATAAACATCTTGAGGAAGAAGAGGAATTCTATTTGGCATGGGCTCAAATAAAGATTGTAAGACAATAATAAATATTGAGCAATAAAAGCATCCTGAGCCCTACAGTCATCACACTATTAATAGCCCACTCCTTCCAGTGCAAACTCTGTAAGAGCAAAGACTCCAAGGAGAACAGCATTGCAGATTTCTGACCACTATTAATGGTAGAAGTAGGGAACAAGTTCTCAAAAGACACGGTGGCAAAGTCACGTCCTACTATTCTCCCTTCCCCAGACAGATACCTATGAGAAAACAGAGGCAAAAATAGGCAAGAGGGGAAAAGGAGCAATGTGTCCAGTAAAACATGGAAGTAAACCCTTAGGGAGGAATGGAATCTATAAGCAAGAGAACTGGGTGGACTAAGGCTGTGAAGTCCTGGGGAAGAAACTGGAGAAAGAAGAGAAACTCATGAGAATGGCAGGGTAAAATAAGTAAGAGGTGTATTAGCACAAGGTCTGAATTAGCTCTCATTTTGTCTTAATTGCCTTGTCTTCCCACATTCCCTCATGAATAAAAGACACAAAAATAATGTACACCATTGCAATGAAAAATGATTTTATTAGGCAGAAACCAGATGCTCAAAGGCCTTCATAAGTTGCCCAATATTTAGGAGATGTTCTCTGGGGCAAAAGGCCTTTTGTATGAGATAGACAGCAGGAAAGGTAGCTTAGTGGTATTTGTGAGCCAGGGCATTGGCCACACCAGCCACCACCTTCTGAAAAGCAGACTGTGCCGCTGGGGTGAAATCCTTGCCCAGGTGATGGGCCAGCACAACCACAATCACATTGCCAAAGAGCTGTGGGAAGAAAGAAGAGGTGTGAATATGAAGAGTCTGAGCATGAACAGAGAATATTCCAACCTCATCTCCAGCTGTTCTTGTGGTTGTAATTATAAAATAAAAGAAGAATGATAGCTGGACTTAGCTGCTGCTACAGATATGAATTCTCATGTATCTGTCAGAATTTATAAGCATAAGTTTTCTTCCCTATCTCCCCAACCCAGAAGATAAATTTTTCACTGTTATTCTTTAAAACTGTGCAAAGAAACACGACAAAGTTTATTTTCCTTGCTTGAAAGAGAAATTAGAACTGCATTTTAAAGTAGACAAATTTTTAAATGTAAATTAAAAAATGAAATATTTTTAATTTACAAATACAACCTAAAAAGTTTAATGGAAGAAGACAGAGCAGATATTGAAGAAAACAAAAACTGGAAAATGCAAACGAAATGAGAGGAAACATTTGTTGTCAATGGAGAATAAAGAATAAAGAATAAAAGATCAACTGTTCCAAACACCGATAACTTTGCCTCCTGCTTTAAACTTATCCTTAGGGAGGAAAAGAAAGGATCACATTGAGGGTTGTCCTAGACTCATCTTGAAGTTCTCAGGATCCACATGCAGCTTGTCACAGTGCAGCTCACTGAGACTTGCAAAGGTGCCCTTGAGGTTGTCGAGGTGTTTCAGGCCATTACTAAAGGAATCAATCACCTTCTTGCCCAGAAAAAAATAGAACAGATTTGCCTGTTATAGTTCAGCATAAGAGTATATGAATGTATCTCTTCCTGTTTCTACAGAATATGCAAAATAACCCACAGACAGAATGGATACAGCCTCTATCATGGTTCTAAGTATGTCTTCCTTCTCCTGGTTTGGATTAAATCCTCCTGGTAAGAAAATAAATATTCATTAATTCATTCATTTGTTGCTGTTTTTTCTGTGTGTGTTTGCATTAATTTGGTCACCTAATCAAATAAATGATGTTCCAAAAATAGAATAAATCTGAATCCAACCATATTTTGTGTAATAATTTCTTCATTTGGTTTTGTGACCCAGACATGGAAACATTGAGACTGCCTAATACAGTAGAAATGAAAATTAATATAAAGCCATTTAAAACACGAAGTTGTGTACACTTCTGTGTACATTAGCAGAAGCATCATTTTCAAATGGGAGATTAATGAGGGATGGTTCTACCTGGAGTCATCTGGGAAATGTGAAAGCAGAGAAGGTTCTCTTATTTAAACCTAATGGTCAGAAGGTGACAAGACATTCTGCCCTTGGCTATGGTTTTCTTTCCCTGCTAAACCTCTAGGAATGCTGTGTTTTAGAATCATGTCCTTGGTTAAAATTCTTGCCCTCAGTCTCTTTTTCTCTATATATGTTTGCTTTCTCTCTCCAGGTTTTCTAGTAGTGTTCCCCCTCCCCTTCTTTTTTGTACCACATAAAACAGTGCTAAGTTCTTAGGTTAGAACAAACTTCTGAAGTATAAACTTTGGTTTTTGTTATTAGAAGACACAATTTTAAAAAAAGCAAAGGCAATCAACATTTTCCAATGACAGTATAAGATCTCAACTTTCCTGGAGGACTCTCTTAGTCATCTTTCCACTTTCTTTCATCTCTACCTCCTGGAATTTGTCCTTCAATTATATTCCCATTTCTGTTTAAAAAGGGGGCATGCTTTTTAATTTCTCTTACCATGTTTCTATTTATAATCTTCTCCTGATTCTGGGACATCCAAAATCTAAAATCTTCCTTATTTTCCCTTGTTGTCCCTGGCAACACATATTTCACAGAAATAGCTCATCCTCTCAGCTCTAATACTTTGAAACCCAATTACACTAATATTTTTAGGTAACCCTGAGAAAAGAGATATTCTGTATTGATTGTTATTCCAATGAAATTAGTAAAATTTTTATTTTATTTTGTCTGGAATAAGAGATCTTTCAAATATTTTAAATGATAAAAAAATATTTAACTTCACATTTAGATTCTTGGGTTTTATTATATTAAAATCTGAATTAGTATTGTAACAGTTTTACGTCCAGAATGTTTTCAATATCCCTTTTTTACACTTCTCTGGGCAGAGGTCAGTTATGTTGATGGGGTGTAAATATGTTATTGGGAAATTCTGTTGCATCTTTTGCAAGAATCATATCCCTAAAACCTATATATCTTACTAGAAATGCTATAGAAAATTTTCATATTTTTCTGTAAAGAGCCAAACTGTCCAGGCTACAACTTTGCATTCTTCTTTGACAGAATTTAGCACTTTTTAAGATCCCCTTATCTTTTTCTGTGCTCTGAAATGTTTCTTCTACATTCTATGTTGTTTCTTCCTCAATGACTGTCCTATGGCAACTCTCTTCTACTGTCAACTGTTGCAGATACTATCATCCAGGCCTCAGAACAGGGAAGCTGATTTGGGGACTGCTGCTCACTGTGACTTGTGTGGAATCAGAAATTTTCTTCAGTTGCCCGGTTCTGTACAGACAAGCCTGTAAGTTATCATGAGACTCTCAACAGCTCGGGTATAGATAGCCAAAACCAGTTATAAGAAATGATGAGTAGTGATAAATGTGGTTATGTTCCGAGCCTCAGGCTCAGATCTGGACCATTCAAGAATTCAAGTGGGGCTGGTTTCGTGGCTCAGTGGTAGAACATTTCTGCCATATATGTGAGGCACTGGGTTTGATCCTCAGCACCACATAAAAATAAATAAACAAAATAAAGGTGTTGTGTCCATCTATAATTTTAAAATATATATTCAAAAAAATAGAATTCAAGCTCCATGAGGCTCACTTTCCCCTTTACAGTTGTGAACTCATTTCGTTCCTGCAAAGGTCTCACCGCACCCCTGATACCAGCCCCTGCTGACCACCCAGTATACACACCAGCACAGACAAGTACTAAAAACCCTCAAAAAAAAAGAAGAAGAAAAGACAAGTCTCAAATTTTATTTGCTTTCCTCTAATTATTCAAGTTTTATTATTTCCTAATGTTCTGGACAAGAATGGGACTAATCTGATTTTATCAACAGGATGAATATTAACTTCCTTCAAAAAAATCAGGACACTCATCCATTTGAACATGGTATCATTATTTGTTGACACTCAACTAGAATATTTTTGTATATGCTCTGCAGTTTAGTTTCCACTAATTCAAGCAAAGTCTAGCTACTTGCTACAGTCTTCTCTCCCACATGCACAATCTCTTGGTGACTTCAGCTTAACATCTTCTCAGAAAAAATAAAACATCTACAAAGACAAGCAGAGTTCTAGAAAGAACCCCTGTTGTGCCAGATTCATGGGACCTCCAATAGAACTCCAGGAGCAGAATCCGATGCAATCACACAAGAGTCTTTATTGCAAGCTCGTCCCTGGACTCACAACGGTTCCCGATGCAGCGGACCCAGGGAGTGAGTCCTGGTCCTTTGTTCAGTGAGATTTTATAGGTTTGGGGGGTATACTCTATGCGTCACAACATTACACAGCAAATCATTCCATACCGTGGGAAAATCAAACAACAACTCTTAACATTGACTAGCACATTCACTGGCAGGAACAAGTTGGGTAGGGGTGATTGGTTAGTACAAGAGGGGGATTCCTTTGAACTGATTGGTTTAGGCCACAAGGGGTGTATGTGCTAAACTTCATGGTTTCCCAACATGTTATCAACTACCATAAACTACTTGGGGTTCATCTGGCATTCCAGGTATTTTCCCTGTCTCATGCAGATTGGAGGTTGCTAGAGGGTTGCTATGAGGTCCTCACCTAGCCTAACTGAGTCAGGGTCACCTGGTGCCACAGATCTCTCTTGTTATTTGTAGACAAACAACTCAGCAGGGTGGGTATGTGCTTAGGAGTGCTCTGTGGGTTTTTCCAAGGACAAAGGTCACGCCTCCTTCCTTAGGACAGGCCTTGAGGTATAAGCTGCTATTATTTATTTATTTTTTAAAATGAAGTCACATCAGTTTCTCACCCTCCCCCCCCCACACACAATAGTTTGAGAATTGATAGTTTCATTCATTAAAAAAAGCTATATCTCACCGGAAAGCAATGTAGTCAACAAAATAGAACATTAATAAAATATATCTGATTATTACAGAACAATTGGCAGCCTACTCTAGAACATGCACACTGATGTTTTCTCCCTCAGGCTTAAGTGCTTACTCAGCATGAGCTTCTCTTTACCTCATGAAGTGGGCATGGTGTTGATGTATGCAGAGGGGCCATCTTCTCTAAAGCTAAATTGGACTTTCTTCTCTTTAGAGCTAAAATCTTGGCTTCAGTATGTGAAAAATAATGACAAATCTGTGAAAATAATTCACAAGGCCAAAACTTCAATGCCCTTCCCTGAGGCTAAAGACATTGATAATCTAGGAGAACATTATGCTACCTTCCCTTTACATTTTAAATTAAATTCTTTTAAAATTTTCTGTGAAATGAAACTGACAATATTGCTTTCCCTCCACTACCACTCCCAGACACACACACTCACACACACCTCTTTTCACCTTTGACTCCACAACATCTATGTGAAGATTCAGTGTCGGGATATAGTCATCGCTCATGCTGAACAGGAGTCCCATCAATGTCATGTTCTGAATTGTTCCAAGTGAGAATTTTTAGGCCCAACTTATTTGTTTTATTCAATATTGAAGGAATATGAAAGGATGCATTACTAAAACATTCTTTTATTTTTGTCTTTTCTTGAGTTTTTGGAGGGTAGTTTTTTTCCCCTTTCCAAGATCATGACATCCATAATCTCTTTACCTACTTTGAAATACTCTCAAAACCTCCTATGCTCCTCAAATCTGACTCCATGAGGATTTAAAATGCTCAGGAATGTGACAGTGATCTTCCTAAAATTTCCCTGGAGTAGCTCTGCTTCTGGGATGTGAGTCTGTGGTTCTTGAAGATCCTACTCAGAAATGCAGAGTTCTCAGTGACTGCTGTGTACAATGTCCTGAGAAGGAAATTGTGGATATTCCAGGCCTCTGACCTTAGACAGAGGTGGAACCAATGAAGGGCAACTCATTGTCAATATGTCTTGGCAGAACTTGTGAAAGCTTTAAACAGAAGAAGGCACCAGGGTGTGTTTAGGCTTTCAAATAACTCAAAAGATAACAAACAAAAGAATGATATAGATCTAAAGAAATGGATACAAGTTAGAAATTTCTACAATTCCATATAAATTTACTGATAGTAAAAACCACACACACACAGGAATAAATGGAATTATCTAGGCAGAAAGCAAATGACTGATTATAGAGAACTTTAGTTTCTTGAATGGTCTATGAGATCCTTTCAATATACAGATTGTCCTCCAACCTGGAATTTCTGAGACAAGGAATAATGAGTCACTCATTCATTGATTATTCCACTGAATAAATGTTCAATTATTGCCTATGTAAGAATTTGATGCAAGAAACAGTAGGCATGCAAGATAAAAGAATAGGTAGAAATGTTTAGGAATTATGATGTACATTGATGGGGAGTGGGAAAGAGAGGAGGAATAGAAGGAAATACCAGGTACAGGTATATGCATATATATTTGACTAATTAGTGTTATGGTGGGCTGTCTCTTAGCAACTATTGCTGCATTCCCCACCCTGGTGAGCAAAGAGGCCTAGGATTTGGCAGCTCATTGTCTTGAAAGGATGAATGTGCACCCACATTCTTCAGTTGGCTCCAACTGGCCCTGACATTGGCCATTCTAGCTTTTGTGTGTCTGGACTCTAAAATCTTGTGCTCCTTATGCTTATGTCCTAACCTCATCTCATTCAACATTTGCTTCTGCAACTATATCCTCAGTTTCATTTACATATGTAACTCAGTCTAATAGAGTGGAAAGTCTTCTAGCATTGAACACATCCAATTCAGTCATTTTATATATTTTATATATAGGAAAGCAAGTCTGGTCTTGGGGGTATCGCTCAGTGCTAAAGTGCTTGCCTTGCATGTGCGAGGCCCTAGGATTGACTTCCAGCACTGCGAAAATAAAAAGAAAAATGAAAAGAAAACAAGTCTGTAGAGCAGGAATATTACCAATTGACTCTGTACAGATTTCTTCCTTGTCTCTAGGAATTTTTGATTCTAGGAGTATTTTGAAGTGTATAATGGATACATATTTTTTTTATCATAGTTTGAACCCTCTTTGTTACTTATTTGGGTAATTCCTTCCTACTACAAGACTCTTATCTTCTCTTCATTTTTTTTTACATAAATGTCCATTAAAAGAATGAAGTGTCTATTTTCCAGCTACCAAGATCGATTTGGGGAACATGGATAATAATATGAATGTTTTAGTAAGAGATAAATGAAAATACAGATACTTATAGTTGCTTAAAATTATAATTAAACTGGAGAAAGAACACAGAAGAAGAGCAAAGTAAATTTATCTTATTTGGTGAGATTATATCTGACAGGTTATCTAGGAAAATGATAGTACAGAATTTTTCACAAATGTATTCTTAAGAATCAAGGAGAGTTATATTCAGGGATGAATATTTAAAAGACATTTTACACTTTTTTTCAACTTAAAGTAGTAAAATCAGACAAATTCACATCCACTCTAATAGCAGGAAGGGGAAGAGGGAGAATGAAGGGGGAAAACAAGGAATGGAGAGAGGGAAAGAAGAGAATAAAAGGTATGAAAGGAAGAATAAGGAAACAAAGAGAAGGAGGAAGGAATGGAGAGATGGCTGGAATGTAATGCAAGAAGAAGGGGGCAGAAAATAAAGGAAGGAGGAGGAGATGAGGGGCCATATTAGTGGAATTTATAAGTTGAACTAAAAGTAATCAGAGATATGGTTTTATTTATATTTAGAAAGGTCAACAATGTGGTTGGAGTTAGGATCTGAAGGGAAAGTTTGTATTCTAAAATAGTAGATAGGAACCATGAATGATTTTTTTTAATTTATTTATTTTTATTATTATTAGTTGTTCAAAACATTACATAGCTCTTGACATATCATATTTCATACATTTGATTCAAGTGGGTTAGTAACTCCCATTTTTACCCCATATACAGATTGCTGAATCACATTGGTTACACATCCAGGTTTTTACATACTGCTATACTAGTGTCTGTTGTATTCTGCTGCCCTTCCTATACTCTACTATCCACCCTTCCCTCCCCTCCCCTCCCAATTTCTCTCTCTACCCCATCTACTGTAATTCATTTCACTCCCTTGTTTTTTTTTTCCCTTTACCCTCACATCCTCTTATATGTAATTTTGTATAACAATGAGGGTCTCCTCCCATTTCCATGCAATTTCCCTTCTCTTTCCCTTTCCCTCCCACCTCTCATCCCTGGTTAATGGTAATCTTTTTCTCATGCACTTCTTCCCTGCTCTGTTCTTAGTTGCCCTCCTTATATCAAAGAAGACATTTGGCATTTGTTTTTTAGGGATTGGCTAGCTTCACTTAGCATAATCTGTTCTAATGCCATCCATTTCCCTGCAAATGCCATGATTTTGTCATTTTTTAGTGCTGAGTAATACACCATTGTGTATAAATGCCACATTTTTTTTTTATCCATTCATCTATTGAAGGGCATCTAGGTTGGTTCCACAGTCTAGCTATTGTGAATTGTGCTGCTATGAACATCGATGTAGCTGTATCCCTATAATATGCTCTTTTAAGGTCTTTGGGGAATAGTTCGAGAAGGGAAATAGCTGGGTCAAATGGTGGTTCCATTCCCAGCTTTCCGAGGAATCTCCATACTGCTTTCCAAATTGGCCACACCAATTTGTAGTCCCACCAGCAATGTACAAGTGTACCCTTTTCCCCACATCCTCACCAGCACTTGTTGTTGTTTGACTTCATAATGGCTGCCATTCTTACTGGAGTGAGATGGTATCTTAGGGTGGTTTTAATTTGTATTTCTCTGACTGCTAGAGATGGTGAGCATTTTTTCGTGTACTTGTTGATTGATTGTATGTCCTCCTCTGAGAAGTGTCTGTTCAGGTCCTTGGCCATTTGTTGATTGGGTTATTTGTTTCCTTATTGTTTAATTTTTTGAGTTCTTTGTATATTATGGATATTAGGGCTCTATCTGAAGTGTGAGGAGTAAAAATTTGTTCCCAGGATGTAGGCTCCCTATTTACCTCTCTTATTGTTTCTCTTGCTGAGAAAAAAACATTTTAGTTTGAGTAAGTCCCATTTGTTGATTCTTGTTTTTAACTATTGTGCTATGGGTGTCCTATTAAGGAATTTGGAGCCCGACACCACAATATGTAGATCGGAGCCAACTTTTTCTTCTATCAGACGCAGAGTCACTGATTTGATATCAAGCTCCTTGATCCATTTTGAGTTAATTTTTGTGCATGGCAAGAGAAAGGGATTCAGTTTCATTTTGTTGCATATGGATTTGCAGTTTTCCCAGCACCATTTGTTGAAGATGCTATCCTTTCTCCATTGTATGCTTTTAGCACCTTTGTCAAATATAATATAGTTGTGGATTGGTCTCTGTGTCATCTATTCTGTACCATTGGTCCACCAGCCTGTTTTGGTACCAGTACCATGCTGTTTTGTTACTATTGCTCTGTAGTATAGTTTGAAGTCTGGTATCACTATACCGCCTGTTTCATTTTTCCTACTTAGAATTGCTTTTGCTATTCTGGGTCTTTTATTTTTCCAGATGAATTTCATCATTGCTTTTTCTATTTCTACAAGAAATGCCTTTGGGATTTTGATTGGCATTGCATTAAACCTACAGAAAACTTTTGGTAATATCGCCATTTTGATGATGTTAGTTCTGCCTATCCATGAACAGGGTATATTTTTCCATCTTCTAAGATCTTCTTCTATTTCTCTCTTTAGGGTTCTATAGTTTTCATTGTATAAATCTTTCACCTCTTTTGTTAGGTTGATTACCAAGTATTTTATTTTTTTGAGGATATTGTGAATGGGGTGGTTGTCCTCATTTCCATTTCAGAAGATTTGTCGCTGATATACAGGAATGCCTTTGATCTAGGTGTGTTGATTTTATATCCTGCCAATTTGCTGAATTCTTTGTATAACCTTTTGGATCTTCTAGGTATAGGATCAAGTCATCCAAAAATAGTGATAATTTAAGTTCTTCTTTTCCTATCTTTATGCCTTTAATTTCTTTCATCTGTCTAATTGCTCTGGCCAGTATTTTGAGAATTATATTGAATAGAAGTGGTGAGAGAGGGCATCCCTGTCTTGTTCCATATTTTAGAGGGAATGCCTTCAATTTTTCTCCATTCAGAATGATGCTAGCCTGAGGCTTAGCATAGATAGCTTTCACAATGTTGAGGTAAATTCCTGTTATCCCTAGTTTTTCTAGTGTTTTGAACATAAAGGGATGCTGTACTTTGTCGAATGCTTTTTCTGCATCTATAGAGATGATCATATGGTTCTTATCTTTAAGTCTATTGATGTGGTGAATAACATTTATTGATTTCCGTATATTGAACCAGCCTTGCATCCCAGGGATGAATCCTACTTGATCATGGTGCACAATTTTTTTGATAGATTTTTGTATCCGATTCATCAGAATTTTATTGAGAATTTTTGCATCTAGGTTCATTAGAGATATTGGTCTGTAGTTTTATTCCTTTGAAATGTC